TAAATCAGGTATTTCAGCCTCTTCAATTGCTAGTTCCCACGTAAAGTGGCATTTCAGCTGAGCCAGGCAGTCCTTGACCTGGTGTTCCTCAGTTGTCCCACTATGAAAAAACATGCAGATTTGTTATATGATGAGCAAAACCTCATTTTTAAAATAATCTTTGCACTTCATGAGCATCTCACACATAGATTTTCCTTCGAGTCTTTTTAAAGTAATATTTATTGAACAGTGAACGTAGGTTCTTAAACCCTCCATCAGTGATCATTCCCACTGCCGATACACAACAGCTGACCCAATTTAGAGGGAAGTTTAGCAAAGTTCATGTGTGGTAGGAATTCAATCAACATTAAACTGCGTGCAATGCGTGAATCTCACGGCAGATGGCGCTGCGAGCAAAGCTTCTTAACTCAGGACAGCTGGTGAGCCTGTCAGGGGAGCCAGGCCAGAAAAGAAGGGGCAAGAAGGAAATTGTACTGGGGGAAAAATTAAAATATAGCTTCAAAATTGGGCCATCTTTCTCACCCTGCCTTGAATACACAGCTGCAGGTCACATAAAACAAAACAACAACTACTATTAAACTCCTTAAAAAAAAATTGTTCGAGCCCTACCTGACCAATTGCACATGCACTACACAAATACCCTGTCTTGCTAGCTTGCTTCAAGGAAGGACCCTCAACTCGGAGCAGACCAGCTCTGCCAAGGTGGCATTAATCCTGCCTGCTTGCCTGGGACCCTGACTTGTCTCATGATAAATGGCCCCTGCACTTAAATCCTGTCCCGGACACATCTGCCTGACAAGGCAGGACTAAATATGTAAAACCAGTTACCAACACTGACTTTGTACTTGCTGCTTGCAGAATGCAGGTAGTTGTGTGTTGCCTTAGCTACTGCTCATGATTTGAACCCAAGTCCCACCAGCCCAGCGGGATTCCTAAAAGGTAGCTTCTAACCCTCTGGTGCAAAGCATTTTCCAGCCAGTTTGCTACAGTTTCTGCAACAAAACCACTCTGGTTTCAAGTTTGATTTAATAAAATGGGTATAATAATAGTACTCAGTATACTGGCCCTAAAAGGAAAAAATACATGTAAAATACGTGAGGAATAATACATGTGGAAGAGGTTTCTATTTTAATAATAATAAAAAAACAAGATGAATGTGATAGGTTCTGGCCCTAGTATGAATTGCTGAATCATTATGGTGCTCATCCAATATGGCTGAAGCCCTTAAGACAACAGCTCATCTTCCCAGAGACTACCTCCCCGCTTCTTCTCCAACTCAGCCTACGGTGCAATTTCCTTCACCTTTTCTGCTCTATTAGGGAAGACCCCAATCAGCTCCTCAGGTGTATCTAAACATCCCCCTCAAACTCCACCCCTGGGAAAAGGCCATAAAAGCCTCAGCCTCTCTTTGCTCCAATCCAGAGAATTCCTCATCTTCCCCACATTCTCTGTGTGTCCTCCAAGACAATAAAGGCCCTGTCCCTTTATAATAACTCCCCTTTCCCTTTTCCTTCTGCCTGTTTCTCTGCTGTAACACCATCGAAAACCTATCATTTTTTGGTGCTGTGACCTGGATCATTGAGTAGTGTGGCTCCTGGGGCATTCCCTGCCCCAGCTTTGAGTGCCCTCACTGAACCGCCTTCAGTTTCTGCTTTTGCTGGTGCTGCCAGCCGCTGCTAGCTTGCCTCCAGCACGCACAGGCCAGTCTGTCTTCACTCATGAGCCCAAATGTATGGGGGTCTTGCTCATCATTCCTCTCTTCTCATCTGGAAAAATCGTGAGCTCACATTGGGATCCCTCACCCATCTTTCTCAGCCATCTGGTCCCTGGCTCCCCACTTTTTCTAGTGATGACTGGATAGTGGTTATGACCCCCTCTCTCTCATCCTCACTCCAGGCTAAGAAGTGATGTTGGAATTTTGCACTAATCTTCGGCTCATTTTAATTCAGTCACAATGGCAAATACTCCTTCCCAGTACCCAAAAGACACCTTCATTTGACGTTAAACAAACAAGTACATACAGAAAACATGGACAGCTTTATAAAATGAGAATATATTTTGCCCAGGTTAAATTATGATGACCTTTTTAAAGTTTGTAATTATGAGAGACTAGTTTCTACTTATTTGTTATATGGCATTTTGTAAACAGCTATTGCTGTTTATATTTAAGTTCTAAAATATAGACTTAAAAGAATGCTTTCTCCTGAGCTATCAGCTGGTCTAAGTGATATCAAAATTAAATTTTAATTAAATAAAAATCATTAAAATGGGGAAAGTTTGTTGAACAGGACTCTTGATTGATGAATAGGTGGTGGCCAATCTTTGTTCATCAATAGAGAGCCCCCAATAATCTCCTTAAAAGACACCCCCATTAGTCATTGGTTAAAAGCAATTTTTCAAAAATTAAAATAAGGTTTTCTCATAAAAGATGCTCAATATATTAAAGATATTCATGCCTTCCAAATATACTGTATGCTACAATATAAACTTTCTTTCAAATTTAAATATATGCCTTTCTCTTATACTCTAGATATTTATAATAAGAGGTCAAGGCAACATGAGGTCATTGGCCAAATGATAATTTTTTAGCTAAAAGTTACATGATATGTATCCTATGTACATTTAGAGCTGCTAAAACAAATGGGAATTTCATATGACTGTTATGGTATACTGACATGTATGACTATTGATGTCAAATGATCTCTACAAAATTATATAACTGTTGTCCATTGACATTTTATAGGGATTTAACTGCTAAAATGCCCTTGGCTGAAAAGAAATAATAGTTCTCTGGTTACACTTTATACTTCAAGGTACTATTGCTCCAAACTAGTATACTAATATAGACCCAGATTCTACTAAACAAGAGAAACCATTGTTATTAATTCCTATCTTATATCCCTATCTGGTCTTGACATTCATGCCAAACTGAAAAGACAAATCTGGGCCTCAAGCCCCACAGGGGGAAATATTACTTAATCTAATTTTCTGTGTCTTCAATAATAGAGACCAAAATGAACTATATACACGGCCAACTTTTGGCTCTGACACTCAGGACTCCTATCAAAGCATGACCTTGACAAGGTAATGCTGAGCCTAAACAATACTGCCACCCGAACCAAGTACAGTGAAGATGGACACTGGGCATGAACCTGCCCCAACCTGCAGCCATCACTGGGATATCTACAAGCTCGAGGATCCTGGAGATGCGACTACCCTATCCTCCAGAGAGTCAGTAAGTCATCCAATTCCCTGCCCTCACAGGAAGCCTTGCTATGATCAGATCCATTTACTTGACCTGTTTGGTCTTGCTGCTGTAGAACAACAGAGCTTCGGTTTCATGGCCCCATCGAGGCATCTTTGTAAAGAGTCCTGAGTCTCACTGGACATCTCAGATAAAAAACAAACAAACAAAAAACCTCTTTTCCTGCTGACATGGAGACCACATATAGTGTTCTTCCTGAGTTTTAAAATTGTTATATTAGTTCTACAGTTTCCATAGTGGGTGGTTATGGCTGACCTACATGACCCCTTCAGATAGACCCATTGCTTGCTAACTTCAGACACTGTTGTTCACTCATAGTTTCCTTGTGGATCTCAACATGTCCCATACCTCTCATGGGGAGAGACCTCCTCCCAAAACTCCAATTTTCTCTTACCTCTCTCTCCTCCCACAGTGTACATCCTTCATACCCAACCTCAATGTACAGCCAACTCTTCCCTCCTTCTTCCCTTATCGACCATATACTCTAAGACACTTTCAGTCCCACTCGTGCCACACATGCTGTTCCTAGACTAATGTACTTCAAAGATCCCACAGAGTTTCTCTACATTCCCCAATACCAGGTAGCCCTCAAACATCATAAGACTCAAGCCCATCATTCTCCGCCTCCTTAGTAATAGTGTTCTTAAAACTGTCCACTTGCCATATAGCACCCTCATTCTTCCTGTACTCAAACCCAATGGTTCAGATCTCAGAATTATGAACAATGTGGTTACTCCTTTTCACCCAGTAGTGCCAAACCCCTATATTATTCTCTCTCATATTCCTTCTTCCACTATTCACGTTAGTGTCCTAGACCTTAAAGATGCCTTCTTCATCATTCCCTTACACCCAGATTGCCAGGACCTCTTTGCCTTCTCATGGACTGATCCAGACACTCTCCAATCTCAACAGCTCAGGTAGACAGTCCTGCTTCAAGGGTTCAGAGATAGTCCTCACTTCTTTAGCCAAACCCTTGCTGCTGATCTCAGAATCCCTGACCTCAAGCCCAGCCTGCTCCTTCAATACATTGACAACCTCCTAAATTTCTCTCCCTCTCATGTCCTGGCCCTAAAACACACAGCTAGTCTTTTTAATTTTCAGTTAGTATGGGGTTACAGGATCTCTCCCTCCAAAGCTCAGATAGCTTCACCAAAAGTCAAATATCTAAGACTCTCCGTCACTCCCACTACTCGTGCAATCACTGCTGACCACAACACCCTTCTTCAGGACCTTCAGGTGCCCACCACAAAACAGCAAGTTCTCTCCTTCCTTGCTTTGGCTAATTTCTTCTGCCTCTGGGTTCCCAGCTTTGCTTCCCTCACACAGGCTCTCTATAAGGCATCAAAAGGTTTCTTGGTAGAGACCCTTGACCCTGCTGCTCCTATACATTCCTCCTTTCACAAGCTACAACAGGCTCTCCTTAGGGCCCAGCTCTTTCTTCACCTAACCCAACTCAGCTTTTTACCCTACACATCACCTCTCAGGGACACAATGCAGTGGGTGTTTTAGAACATAAAAAGGGACCATCTTTTGAGGCAATAGCCTAACTTTCTAAACAACTGGACAACACAGCTCACAGATAAACTCCGTGTCTCCACACACAATAACAGCCACACTAACAAAGACAAAATGTTCACTTAATACAATCTATCATAGTCCACCCACCCATCACCTTGGTGAGCTCATCTCACGTGAGACAATTCCAGCCCTAATGGCTCCTCACATATAACAAATCCACTTAATGTTCACAGAGGCTCCTTCTGTCACTGTTTCCACCTGTAGCCTTCCCAATCCCACCACCTTCTTCTATAGCTCTGACGAGGCCCCTCCATACAGTTGTGTCGAGTTCCGACAGATGACCCCAATGCCCTTTCCTCACGTTGACATAAAAAACTAAAGGTAGATAATCCCTAACATGGTCACGTAAAATGACACATTCAGATCATAGACACGACACCATTGCTTCTCCTTTTGTGTCCTTTAATCTGATGACATGTCCTCTAATATGCTGCCTTATTAAGCTTTCTTCAAGGTTTTGTCAGCTCAGATGGGAGCTGTCACTAACGATGAACTTCTAGTCCTATCTGAGACACCTGGCACTAACTTCTACATGAATGGGAACCATCATCCTGTCAACTCCCCTCACCACTAAGACAATACCCCAGTTTAGCAAGAAGCAGTCTAAGAGATATGTCACACCTTTTATAACAACTACAAGATGGGAATGGTAGGTTATAGCCCTATTATGAATTGCTGAATTATTATGGTGGTCATCTAATATGACTGAAGCCCTTAAAACATCAGCTTATCTTCCCAGAGACCACCTGCCCTCTTCTTCTCAAACCCAGCACAAATTACAACTTCACCTTTCCTGCCACTTTAGGGAAGACCCCATTCAGCTACTTGGGTATATCTAAACATCCCCTTCAAACTCCACCCCCAGCAATAGTCCATAAAACCCTCAGCCCCTCTAATCCAGAGAATTCCTCATCTTCCTCTAGTTTTCAACCTGTTCTCCAAGATAATAAAGCCCATTTCCTTTATAATAAAGGTCCTCTCCTTTTTTCCTTCTGCCTGTTTCTCTGCCAGGACAAAGTCAAAAACCTATCAGAATGTATAAAGCCATTGTGGTATTTCATAATGAAAAATAACCTTATGTCATGTGTAGGCCTACAAAGGCACCTTGAGATACTCCATGTGAAGTGGAAGCAGGATACACAGGTGTAATATCACATGGTTGCCCTTATATGAAAAAGCTAAAATATAAATAAAGTACAAACGAAAGGCAGTAGGAAGTTAGATGTCTCTGAACCAGCAAGGACACTGGGAGATGGAGGGAGGGGCAGGGAGGGAGGGTCTGCTGTTGCGCATGCTCTGTGCACTCGCTCCTCTCCAGCCTGCCTGGTGATACCTACAAGCCAAGTTCCAGCCAGCTCATTTTGTATTTGAGACAACAGGAATAATTTGGCTTAGGATTTATTTGGGACCATAAATGAATGTCCACACTGGGCTTTTTCAGCAAGAACAATGCAGACAGGACCCCGGAGAGAGGAACTGCAAGCGTGTGCAGGCAGCCTGGCTCCCTAACAAGAGATACCGTAATCCTCTAGTCTTCTGTTCAGTTGGAGCTTGTCAGATCCCAGCAGCAAGGAAGGGAGAAGGGAAGCCCACAGAGGAGGGAAGGGGCTTCTCCCACCTCCACCCCACATAATCCCAAATCTTGTAGGGGGCAGAAGCAGCTCACAGGGCAGTGTGGATCCTGCTTTTCCTCCAAGGTCAAGATGAAGCTGAAAGCTGTCTTTATCCAAATAAGCTGGCTTTCTTTACTTAGATGATGCAAAAAAAAAAAAAAATCCTTCAAGGCTTGGATATATTTTTCCTGCCTGAAAGACTCTTTCCCCATCTCCTTGTATTACAGGAGGAAACTTAGTGTGCAAACATATTTGCACTTACACGCATCCACTGCATCAGCAGATGCTCAGACAGGAGAGTTAGAGCTTGATTTCACTGACCACAGAACTTCTGGGATGGCAGTGATTGCTGTCTAACCCTTTAGAATCCTGGGAAAGAAAGGTGGAGATCCTCACCTCATGGCTGCTAGGGATCTGGCAGCAATTCCAACCGGTCTCACTGGCTGGGCTTCTTGGAGAGAAGGTCAGACTGTTTTGAGGCTTTTCGCATGGACAGAAAGAGCAGGGTGTGGTGGTGGGGGCAAGTATATATGTGGGCGTTTCTGAGGGTGGAAATTGTCCTGGCAATTCTAAGTGGAAAAGTTGAAACTAAAGGGAAAACAGAAATGACATGTTCTGCAGGGAAAACAGAAATTGAAAGCTAAGGGGGAGTGTGGGGTTCTTTGTAGACTTCACGGCTGTTTGTATGTATGTGCGTATGTATGTATGTATTTCGTACAGGGTCTCACTAGGCAGCTCAGACTATGAGTGATTTTCGTGTCTTAACTTCCCCAGTGCTGGGATTACAGGCATGAGTGACTAGGCCCGGTTTCCCTGGCACAGCGTGCCCTTAGTTCCAGGGCCGGCATGGCATGCAGTGCTGGGGATCAAACCACAGGCAGGCATTTAGACTCTGTGCTCTCTCTCCAGGCCTTGACAGCTGTCTTTGAAGATGCTGGTCAAAACAGCTAGATGAATGTGGAATCCTCTCTTCTGGCCTGACAATTTGGGGAAAAGGAAATGACATTCTGTGTACTGTGTACTTTGTTTAGAGCCACAGACAGAGGAGAAAATGGAATTCTGAATTTGCAAAAATTCTGTATCTCCTTCTTACCTTTGTTTTCCCAGTTGCAAATGTTGCAGGTAGCTGAGTTAGATAGAAATACTATGGGCAGTCAGAGAGGGCCAGGCGCTGCAGGAGACAGTATGGAAGAGGAGGTGACTTTGCAATTTTAGTAGAGATAGAGCCCTGAAGTGGGCTAGACCTCCAGATAGAAGAGTAAGCAAATGTAGCCAGAGTCCTCTCTAAAGATAGGCATCCAGGACTAGTATTCTAAAAGAGTCGCTCACCAGGACACCTGGAAGTCCTTAATCCAGGCCCCTACAGGAAAAGCCTAGGTGTTTTCTGCCCCTTTTGCCATCCTGCTTGCTTATGTGACTTGCATCCCAATTCAGTGCTGCATTTAATCAGCTTTAGCTGAGCAACTGAGCATGCAGTCTCATTGGTTGACCATAATTTTTTCCCACCTCATGCCCACCTAAGTGAGTTCTCATGTTCTCCACCCTAAATATCCCTGGGAGACAGAGTTTCCCCCTTTTGTCCTTGTCTTGGATGAGACCTTTCTTTCTCCTAATAAATATTTTCTGCTATTAACCTATATTAATTAATTAACAATTCATTCTTCAGTTTCAGAGGACACAAAGATGGAAAGGTCTATAAAGAGGGATAGGCTTCTGGGCCAGCCCTGACTAGGAAGACCTAAAATTTCACTGGTGGAGTGAGGGATGGGGATTGACTTTGGGTGAAGCAGACTGGTAGAGCACAGGGGAAGCCAGGCATTTTGAAATCAAAGTAGTCCTCCTTCCCTTATCTACCTTCAATTAAATGCAAAGAGAGGTGGGTTGGTCACTTAAGTGAAATCTGTTATGTAGTATATGAACAGACACATGTACACATCTATACATCAATGTACATCAATACAATGTTTAGGTTCAATGTTGGCCTAATAGGGAGATTTGATTTGGCTCTTGTCCAATTCAGTTTGCCACCAGAATAGTGGAAAGAATTAAGTTCATAAACCAAGGCATCACTGTGTAAGTATTCCCACCTTAGGGCCACTGTGGTAGTGTGTAAGCCCTCTTACTGGCTAACTCAATCTGTATGGAAGGTAACCCTTAACAAATTCATGAATTCTAAACATTAGAATTCTGACAGGCTCAATTAAGAATATACACATAGATGATGGCACATGGGCTTAGGGTCTTGGGGCCTGATATCCATCTATAACTGCCCAGAGAATCAATCAGATTATGGCAAATTCTAGGTAGCAGAAGGGCCCTTACTCCCTATAAAAACGGCCAAGAGCAAAAGACCCACAGGTACCTGGGTCCAGATAAGTCTCCCTGGCTTCTCGCAATGTAGCTGTCTCCTGCATCATTTCTTTCATGAAAATCAAGTATTTTTGAAGTTGGTCATTTCATCTTTGCTTTTAAGATAGCACAAATTAGAATTATAAAAATACAAGTCATAAAGAATTTCACATAAGATAATAATATGAATTTCACAGTATTTGTTATAATACATAGTGTTGTCTTCCAGCCACTTATTCATTTTACCAGATATGTGCATGTAAAATTGGAAGAAGAAAGAAAAAAGAAAGAAATGTACAGGAAATTAAAAAGAGAATAAGTGCAAACAGTTTAAAAAAAGGAGGCAAACTAATTAAAGCATTAACTGCTTCTTCCCACAGACCAACAGAAAACACAATACAGTTGTCCAAACAATTCTGCTTAATAAAAAAATATTATTATTAGTATATCTTTCAGCTACTCCCTCTCCTGCCCTTCTCCTCAGGTCAGTAGCTCTTTCCTTTTGAATAAGTTCATTTGCTTTTCCTGCTTATTTATTGTACCCTTCAGATTCCATTTTTCACTTTTCAGGTTCTCACACTAAGGAGACAATATAATGTTTGCACATGGGGTTCTGATTTATTCTACTTAGGAGTATGTTCTCTAGTACCCATGTACCAACAAAAGACTCAAATGTATCATGTATTAAAGCTGAATATTACTCCATTGTGGAAACCACATCTTCTCTATCCATTCTTTGGTTAATGGGCATCTGGCTTGTTTCTAGGATTTAACTATGACAAATTGTGCTGCTATAAACACGAGTGCACATGAATGAGTTAAGTATGAGGTTTTCAGTTCTTCTGGAAAAATACCCAACAGGGGAATAGCTGCCTTGAATAGGACCTCCAATGCTAGGTTTTGAAGGAATATCCACATTGATTTCCATAGTGGCTTTACCAGTGTGCACTCCCACCAACAGTGCAGAAGGGTTCCTTTTTCCCTGAGCCTCTCCAGCATTTGTTATTGGCTGACTTCCTGATGTTAGCCATTCTTTCTGAGGTGAAACAGATTCTCAGTGTTGATTTAATTTGCATTTCTCAAATGATCCATGACGTTGAACATTTTTTCATACATTTACTTGCTATTTGTACTTCTTCCTCCCAGCAGTATAAACTCATCTCAGATGCCCATTTTTGGATTGGTCTTTGAATGGGGGGGGGGCGTAACTTTTTAAAAAATTCTTTATATGCTCTAGATAGAAGGTCCCTTCAGTTTTATGCTGCATTTATGACTGCAGTGATCTGCTGGGCCAGTGGAAAGAAGTCGTGTGCAGTAATCATACAGCCGCCGAGGCCACATCAGGAGGTAGGAACTGAATTTGTCTGATAAAGCTATATTTATAGAAAAGATCCCTTTAGCTTTTTGAGTCCTGACTAACCAGAGCTATGAGGCTTTAGAGAGATAAAAATTTGTACATACAAGTCAAAGTTATACTGGGCTGCATTTAATCTCTTTCCCATGCCCAACTACTACCAAGCTGTGTGTTTGCTCTCATATTCTTGCCCTGCAGGCAAGAAGCAACCTAAGTGGAACACCAACAGGGTGGAAAGTATCAGCCACAAAAAGAGAAAGTAAAAACAGGGATTTTTTTTTCTTTTCTATTAAGGGGAGGGGTGCAGGAAAAGGAAAACAGTGTGATTTCCTCTGGGGAGAGTCACATAGTGCCCCACTTTAGAAAAGGCCCCTTATAGTCTACATTTAGCTTTTACTTGGGGGTGGGGTATCCTCCTGGGTATGGCCTCCTCAAACTTCTGTCATGCATAGACTGGTCAGCTTTTCTGCTGTGAGCACAGGGGGTCTGTCTTCACTCAGTGGCCTCTTGGAGGCCATGTTGCATTCAGGCAGTCTCTACCAGAGGTTAAGTTTCAGGGAGTCTTGCAGGTTGGGATGATCACTCCAAGTGGCTGAGGAATCTTCAGGGTGAATCTTTTTTAGCCTCATGTAGTATATGCAAGAGGTGATACCTGAAACTATGACAGTAGTTTGACACTGTTGTGCTAGTCCCTTTCTAAATAAGCTGAGGGGGTTCTCTTTTATTGTCTTTGACTAGACAGTCTCCCCTGGTAGGAATGGGTGTACAGGGCTGCTTGTGATTGGAATTTTCTTGGAAACACTCTACTGATGTAAGAGAACACATCTCCTAGGGCTGTACTTCAGCAGTCAGATTTCATTCTCCTGGCATCTGACATCTGCTTTGAAGGCTTGATTAGGGCAGAGGGCTTCCTGAAGAGGATTTTAGAGGGAGAATAGCTGGATGATGCTAGTGTACATCAAAGCTGTAGTAAGGCCAGAGACAGCACATGAATCCAGGACAGGCAAGTTTCCTAATGGAATTTGGTTAGAGTGTCTTTTAGGGTATGATTTGTGCACTCTCTGGTATTTTCTCTCAATTCTGAGGTCTATAGGCCATGTGGAGATTCCAACTGATCTTTAGCAGATCTGCCAGAGTCTGTGTTATAGAAGAAGCCCATACTGGGAAGTGATTTCTCGCAGCAAGACTTTGGCTACCTGTTGGGCTTTTCTGCCCATGTGGGGATGGTCTTTACCAAGCCTGAGTGTGTACAGAGGAGAACTCTTAGATATCTAGCCATGGCATAGCTTTACTTTGTAAAGTTTCCTTCAAAGTCTTCCAATATGGGACATCCCAGTGTATTGTATTCCCAGGGAAGGTTCTGGCTTTTGCAGAGGGTTATTGAGGATGCAGTTTAGGCACCTTTGACACAGAGGCACAGAGAGATGACAGTTGAGGGACACAGAAGTGTCACTTTCTATATACACAGCTCGTATAATCCTGTTATTTCCCACCAAGGCAGTTTGCTGGATTATAGAAGTTCTTTGGTCCTGGAATGTCTACCATCCTTCCCCATTTCTGGATGCTCCTTCTTCCTGTGCTCAGTGGTTTCCCTCAAAAAAGAGTCCCCATGGATTGTCCACTAGGATGTCTGGGGCTCTATTCTATTCATGGGACTCGGACAGGTGTTGGTAATCCTTTATGAAGAAGAGGTCAAAGGTGCCCATTTCTTTGGGGGGTCAGCATAAGGAGGCCTCTGGGGGCTTCTGGATATGGCACTGTGCATGTGATGGACAT